CATCTGTGCATTGTGCTCGTGATGTGAGTTAAGAAAGTGTTAAATTAAGATTTGTTGTAGATAACATGGATTATCTCTTACTAGACAAATAATATGCGTTAGTGTCATATCTCTATGATGTTAGCATCTATAGAAGTTGTGTGGGATGTTCTCTCTAGGCCTTAACAAATCAAGATATGATTTACCGGACTCCTCAGGATTTTACCACCATACCTGCTGATATCCCCCCCCCCTCAGCCATCCCCCCCCCCCCCCCCAAAAAAAAAAATGCTTGTTGTATCATCACATCTTTTGTTTTCCTTTCGGTTTATTCTATAGCTTTACCATGTTTGTTTTGCTTTTGTCTTTTTTATTATTATTTAAATTATTATATAAATTGTACAAGGTAGATACGCAGAGTAAGATGTGAAGCACAGATCAATAGAAATGAGGTTGTTGTGGAAGAAATGTGTTTTTTCAGATAAATTAGAAAACTGATTAATAAAATTGATCATTGCTGTTTTTCAAATTAAAAGAATGGCTGCTTTTCCATAACTTCTGTGTTTTAACCAAAAGGAATATGCTCCCAAGACTTCTGGAAAACTATTTGAAAGCAGTGAGGATGAGCAAGATGGTACAGATGATGAATCGAGATTCAAAATTAAACCTCAGTTTGAAGGCAAAGCCGGTGAAAAAGTGAGTGAACCTGTTTAATGTGATTTACAGTTCTCCTGAATCTCTGTAATGCCACATCTTATGTATATAACATCATGTAGGTTTACATACTTGCTGGATATGAAAATTTTGACAAGCTTAAAACAAAATTCCTTGTTTAAATAGAAGGAAACAGTGGCCATACTGTTTCCTGTGGAGAAAATACTATGGCAGGGAGGGGGATGAAAGGATTCTCTGATGTTGTCATTTTTAAATACAGGGAAACTTCTGGGGAAGGCAATGAGACCTAAAAGTTGTTAGCATGTTGCAATCATTACAGTAATTCTCCAGCAACTTATTCTATTTAATCATCTTTAGCTCTTGCATTTGCAATCACGATTTGGCACAGATGAAAGATTTCGTTTGGATGCTCGATTCATTGAAAGTGACAGTGAAGAAGAAGGAGGAGAAGGAGGTAAGCCTGGTCTTTTTTCCTGGTTAATCACAGTAGTGGTGATGTAGAGCCTTAGTTTTGGGTATTTGAAATAGCTCATGAACTCCTTGCTTTTCTGGTAGTTCAAAAGAGAGAAAAAATAAATAAATAAATAACCCAACCCTATAGTGGCTATACTTATTATATAGTGGTAGTTGTGTTTTCTTAAATCTGTATGTTGCAAAAGTAATAGATGATGGAGGCATTATTTGCTTGATAAATCAATGTTTGTTTTTTTTTTTTTAATATAGGATAGGTGATATTCTTAGGATACTAGAATGTATTTATTCATGTTTTTCATAGGATAAATGATGACTTAAAAAATAGTTTTTGATTTCTTTCACTTCAATTATATGTTTTGTAATTATCCTGGAGTCTACTTAAGTTTCAGCAACCCTAGGGAGGAACGATACCCTAAAATGGCAAAAGGCAGAAAAGCTGAAAAAGGCAAAGAAGGCTCATTTTCTTCTTTATTTTTTTTCCTACCAAAACCAAAATTGTTAACCTATTTTTCAAGGCTCAATTTTTTTTTCTCAAGCCCAACTTTTTCCCAGTTTTACTACTCCCTTTACTGTTCAATGTGATCTTAAGCATGTTTCTGTACAGCATTCTTGGTGGCAGAGAGGTTACAGAGTTAGTGATGTGAGGAGTGAACAAGCTTTTTAACTGATTTTCATGTGAAGTAAATGTTCTTGATGCTTCTAATCAAAGATTAGATCCTGAACGTCAGGGAAGAAACCCTCTCATTGCTTTAGAGGAAACCTGCCAAGCCACATCACCTACTATTGTGGTGATGTTATGTATCAAATATTACATGCTTAATTAGGTCATGATGGAGGAAAAAAAAAAAAGTAAATACTATCTTTTTCTTTGCAGAGACAAAGATACTGGAGGCAGAGGAAGAAGAGCTGGCTGCAGAGAAGAAAAAAAATCTGCAAATACTGGGAAACCTCTTGAATATCAACCTAGAACATTCTAAGCCAACTAAAACGGCCACAAATGCTAAGAAATTCAAGTAGGAATCATGCATTGTCAGAAGGAATTTTAAGAAGACTTAATTTTTTATCAGTGTTATGCAACTGAAATTTCTCTTTAGTCAGTTGTTGAAAAAGCATTTTTCTGTCACATGCACCTGAAGTTAGCCTCTCATTCAATTTATCAACTTCACTGTCCCAGTACATTATGCTACTGTATTCATTATTCTAGGGAAGAGGTAATTAGATGGCCCCTGGAGCTTTTTTTGTATAATTAGGTTGTTGATTATGAGAATTAGTATTTTAGTAAGTCTTTGCATATGTGAGAGAGATTTCTGCTCTCTGCAGAGACCATTTAGAATAGCTCAACAAAAAGCACTTAAATTGACCCATAGGTCAGTAAGCTAGACTCCAACTTCCATAGAAGTTAACAAGGTGGTGGTATTCTGTGGCTTGCAGATGAAAATACGCAGAGGTGAAAATTGTGTGTGGTGCCCTAGAGATAATTCAGGAGATTTTATGAGATAGTGTTCTGTAAAATCCAAATAAAGGATACAGTGTAGATGCAATTAGGAATAGTTACTTTATGCATTAAACATTAAATAGTTCTATTTGCTTTGCAAAATACAACATGGGCTTTGCTACATTAGTATTAGGGTCAGTCTAAACCTTAAACTATTATAGCTGAAAGTCTCAATGTTTTAAGAGTTGCATATGGTGGTTGGACAACGTGATCTCTAAAGGTCCTTTCCAACTTCAACCATTCTGTGATAAACAGATGCACATGTAAACTCACTTTATTTTATAACATATGTAACTTGAGGTTTATGTTTTATATAGTATGACATTCTGACTAAAGGAATTTTGTTTATAACTGTTCTTGGCAAAGACTCGGACTAAACAATACTTTTAAAGTACCTATTAGATTTTGATTTTATCCAAGACTCTTTGGTAAAGAAGTACCAGTTCACATTGGTGAACATGAATGTCAATCTGACTATAAATGCTTAGGATAATTTTGATGTGGGATTTCAGAGTGTCTCATGCTTTTTTGTTTCATTTCTCTTTCCCCTAGAGATATTAATGCCCTTCGCTATGATCCGACACGACAGGACCATGCAGTTTTTGAAAGGAAGCCAAATGCTACAGAAAAAGAGAGGTAGTATTGTATCTTAGTATTATGACTGTGATTTCCCACTTCCGCCCTCCCTACCCTCTCTGAAAAGCTGAATTAAAAAAAGTGGGACTGAATCTGAAACTATGCAAACACCTATACAAATTGCTCCTTTTCTCAATTATTATTGCTAAAATAGAGAAGTGAAAAATGTGATGGCTAAAGGCACCAAGTGGTGTTACCTTTTTCTGTTCACTCAGCCCTCTGAATGCTGACTTGGTGTCCTCCTTTTTCACATTCGAAGATGGTGTCATCACTGAAGTACAGACAGCACACTATTAATCGTGGATCAGAATTGTTGCTGCCCTTTGATAGAATTATATATGAGAGTCTTTCCCCTTCTCACCCTCTAAGAGTGGGTAACTTGCATGAGGGAAAAAGAGATGGGGGAAAAGCCTAACTGCAAAGGCAGTTATATGGTGCTTTGAACTTTGGAATATCCTATTCCGTGAACCTGCAATGACTAGGAAAGCAAAACAAAAGGCAAAACAGGGAAGGAAGAAAAAAAATTGTGAAGTGAAATTGTTCATGGATTTAGAAAGGCAATAATATAAATATTGCCACTTTAATCTTTAAATGCGTCGTTAAGCAGAAAGGCAATAAAACAACAGTATTAACGGAAAGGGAGCCTTTCTTTCAAGAATGTGTGCTGTGCCATTAACCTTAAACTGCTTGATTTCAGTAAAGCTAAAAGGAAGAAGAAGAGGGAAGAGAGTGAGAAGCTACCTGAAGTGTCTAAGGAAACGTACTATGATATTTCTGTGGACTTAAAGGAGTTGTTTGGATCTTCAAAGAGTGAAACAAAAAAAAGTGAAGAAATACCCTGGGACAAAGATGATGCAGAGGAATCCACTTCACTTGAGCATCAGACTTTGGGAATTAATGTTGGCAGTAACGTAGCTCAGGAGTCTAGTGATTTCACATTTTCCTTCTTTAGTGACACGGAGGAGTCGGCCGTAAAAGAAGGTACTTAATAGTGTAATTTTTACTGATAAGTTTGTCAATCACTGTAGAGTTATATAAAATGTTTCAAGTTCAGCACCCATCAATTTTTATAGGCTAAACTCAGTGCTTAAGCAATGTCATTATGATCTCCTCTTATACTTGCAAAGGCCTTTGTAGTTTAAATCAGTTAATTGTATTTCCATTCCAATAATTTTGCAAGGGCAATGGTTTCAGAAAGAAATTCTAATTTTTCTTGAATGGTCGTGCGAAAACATGTTGACGTACATTAAAGCTCTCAAATCAAAGGCAAACCAGGATTTACACACAAAAAAAACAAGATTTATAAATACGGTATATGCTAATTAAGGTAAGATTATGAGCAAAAGAAGATCTTAGAGCAGAGCACAAGATCCTAAACATTTTAGTATGTAATTAATTTTATGTTTATAACTGAAGGACATGATTATTGGGTCTAGGTAACAAAAAGTATCCTCACCTAACAAAATGTTATGAAGCAAACCAAGTTGTCAAATCCCGTAACATCTTCTCAATTGCTATATTACTACTTATGTGCAAAGCTAACAAATAAAAAGAGCTAATTTCTGATGGCTTCAGAAAAAGATGAGTATCTTCTCGATACTGCAATATGGAGTTTGGTATAGAAAACATCTAAGTGGAGGCGTAGTCCAAAGTTCACTAAGTAAGGTTTTAACCAACAAGAGTTGTTGTTGTTGCCATTTTTTTGCAGCACAGCTGTGGGGGTGTTTTTTTTTTTTCTTTTTGATGACTTCAACTTTGTATTTTCCCCCTGCAAATGCTTGTTTGTTTGTTTTTTTTCGAAAGCAGAATATTCTAATTGTTGTCTTTAAAGTATTTGATTTTCATACTTCATTTACTGTTGGGGTTGGCAACTACTTTGTATTGTCAGAGAGAGAAAGAATATACCTTGGCTGGACACGCCAAGGAGGAAGGATTAGGCTAAGCAATCGTGAGTTTAGTTTGTGAGCTCAGAAAGAATATACCTTGGCTGGACACGCAGAAGGATTAGGCTAAGCAATCATGAGTTTAGTGTGTGAGCTTATTATTAAGATAGTTCACAGTGGAAGA